GGGCCGGCGCCATTGCCTGCTGCTGGGCGCCTACGTGGCGGCCTTCGCGGCGTGCTGGCTGCCGTTCCACGTGACCCAGCTGCTGCTCACCCTGGAGGGGCCGCACATCTCCCTGCACTGCTACCTGGCGCACCTGCTCTACTTCTTCTACGACGTCATCGACTGCTTCTCCATGCTGCACTGCGTCATCAACCCGGTGCTGTACAACTTCCTCAGCCGGGGCTTCCAGGGCCGGCTGCAGAGCGCGGTGGTGCACTATCTCCCCCGGGCGCGGGCCAGGGCGGGCGCGCGCGCCTCCTCCACCTCGTCCTCCACGCAGCATTCCATCCTCATCACCAAGGAGGGGGGCCCGCCCCCCGCGGCGGCCGCCCCGCTCCAGCACTCGGGCTCCGGCCTCCAGGCGCCTCCTCTCCCAGCCAGCTGAGCCCGGGGGTCCCCGCCACCCGGCCAGGAGCTGCAGCGGAGGGCGGTGGGAGGTGCCAGCGAGGCTGGCGGGTGGGCAGGCCGGGAGCGGAGCCAGAGCGCTTTCGGCCATTCTGGGTGATGTTACACCGCTGAGGTGCAGGGGGAGACGGGGCGAGGGAGCGGGGCCAGTGGGTGCTGTGCCTTTGCCTCCCAGCCGGTGTCTAAAGGAGACCACCACGCAGGGGGAAAGGTGAAATAAATAATGGCGACAGCAGTCTTGGGATCTCTGAACCATCGGCGCCCTCAGCAGAAACCAGGCTCCTTCGTGTCAGGACGCGCCCGGTGCAAAGGCCGCACCTGGGAACCTCAGAGAGGGCCTTTGTGTTTGTGCTTGTTGCTCTCCCAGCCAAGCAAGCCGGCTGTGGGGACAAGAGGCCACAGGTCAAGGGCAGGGGACAAGAGGCCACAGGTCAAGGGCAGGGGGCCTCAGCTGTGCTCGGCCAGCGCTGATGGATGCAGGGCCAGGCCTCAGGCTCTGGCAGCAGATGGGTCTGCAGGACGGTCTCCGCCCCACCCACCCCCAGCCAGGAAATGGCTCCATTTCCTCCCTGACACGGTTCCCCTCATCCATCCTGCTCCCCTCCCCCTGAAGCTAGAGTCCATTCTCTCTGCTTTGGGTGGAGGACGTGTCCAGGCGAGATGCCACCAGGAACCCACATCCACGCCGCCCTCTCTCCCCAGGCCCCAGGGCCCCAAGTGCCACCACGCCCCCGGTCCGCATAGGGTCGCAAAGTGCAAGTCTCCGAATCCGGTCCGGGGCCGGCTCAGCATTCTCCCACGCCAGGTGGCAGCATCCTTCCTTCTCCCTGGCCAGGTGCCCCACTACCTTGCCCTGCAGACAACAGTAGTGGCTCGTTAGTAAGTAGGTCTCCTGGGAAACGCTGGTCCGTTTGGGAAACGAGGACCAAGTCGGCGAAGAACCACTGAGGGGGCCGAGGAGCAGGGCCCAGCCCCGGGCCGGCCTGAGGGGCCTGAAGGGCTCGTGGACTTATCACGACAGCCCCTTCAGCGCTCGCGCCGTGTCTGCAGGGTTTAACTTGGAGTGGCGCCAGATGGTGACGCGTGGGCCCGGGGCCAGGCGCTCGGAGCGGGGTTCGTGTCCACAGCCGCCTCTCACGGGGCCCCTGCAAGGGTCTCACACTGGAAACAGCGCAGGGCCCAGAGCTGAAGGCTTTTGCACCAGGAGTCTGGGCCGTGACCTGGGCTGCCAGGACGGAACCCCACAGTGCGGCCCACGCATGAGCCTTTCCTCCCCGGGTGCAGAAAAGCCCAGCAAAGATGGGCCCTTATCACCGCCTCCCTGGCTCCAGAGGCTTCCTAGAGGAAACCAGTTGCCCATCTGTCACCCTAGCTTATGTCAGAGGCCACTTCCCCAGGATTCGCTCTCCTCATGGGTTTCACTCTGGGGACCCGTTATCACCAAGTACTTCCCGGGGCCCTGGCGGGAGGAAGCAGCCAGCTGGTCCGGGCAGCTCGGGCTGGGCAGCGTGGGGGCAGGCTGAGCTGGCTGCTGAGGCCAGGCGGGCCAGCGCCCCCACCTCTCCAGGAGTCTCGTCCGTGGAGCGCACTTGCTCCCGCCTCACGTTCGGCCAGACGCCTGCCTGTCCGAGCCTGCCCTCCTCTCAGACGGGCCCTGTCACCATGGGCTCAAGTGGCTCGGGAGGGCCGTCTGTGCCCATCTGCCGGTTCTGTCCGGTCAGGCTTCAGCAGGACCCTGCTCTCGGGCCGATAGAGGATCCTCTCAGCTGTGCGGCCTCGAGGCTGGGCCGCTGACAGTGTCCCACAAAGACCAGTGACGAGTGCCCCGGGGAACTCCAACTGCAGGAAAGGGGATTTGCTCACGAAGTTTTGGCCCCTCCTGGGAACGCCGCGGCTGAAGGTGCCGACCGGGCTCCCGCCAGGCCCCGGCAGGCGCAGTCAGCAGGAAGACAACTCCCGTTCGTAATTCCTTTTGTTTTTATTATTCTAAATAAAAACCACACTTTGTGCTGAACAATGGAATATAAAAGAATCAGATGTACGACTTTAGACATCTACTATTTGGGGGAAGAAGTTTACAAAATATACAAAACTTTACAGCAATAGATAGTAAACACTTAAATATTAGGAGGTCAGTACTCGTGGACTTAATGAAGGAGTCAGGCGTCGACAAACTCTTCTCCGCTGTGTGAGACTTTAGCTAGTGGGGGGGGGGGGAAGGGACATCGAAATCAGAAGTTTCATTCCACTCTGACGGGTCGTTCCCCAGGAATGATCGCCCTGGAGCAGAGGCTCTGCCCGCCTCCTGACCCATCCAGCGGAGGACTGAGGGCGAGGAGCATGGCCTGCAGGTGGCCAAACCCGTGCACACAGCCCACTGCCATGTCAGCACAACCAGTGTCCGTCTCCCAGCGGATGCGAGTTCACGGCCCACATGGAGCAGTCTGGGAACCAGGGCGCAGCAGGAGGCCAGCGGGGAGAGAAATCATCAGTAGCAAACACCAACCGGGGAAAGGTACTCAAAGAACACTGACTGATCAGAAGTCAGAACGCTTTCACCCATGTCCTGATTCGCAGGGGTCCTCTGGGGACCCCTCTGAACCCCAGCTGCTCTCTTCCCGACCACGAACTTTAGGACCCGTGGAGTCTTATCACTGAGGAACAAACACTGGGGCACAGCGAGCTTCCCAGGGTGTGGTGGCACCAGCGAGCCAGCAGTGGGTCCCCGGGGTGCCGGCCCTGGCGCCTGCCTCGGCCACAGCAGCCCCTGCCGCTCCCCGTGGGGAACAGGCTGCCTGGCTTAACCCCGGGAAGCTCCAGACAGAGGGCTCTGTAAATTAGGTAGCTGATCCTGAGTACAGAACAAGGGGACAAGGGAGAAGACACCCCAGGGTCAGCCAGACCCTCAGCAGCACAGCAGGAGACAGCGCCCCCCGGGCTCCGGGGCAGAGGGGGCCGTGAAGCCAACAACAGAAGGTTGAGGGAAATCAGCACTTCCCAGACACCCCAGCGTGCCCGCTGCACAACTAAGTCACGGCGCTCGGGCAAGCTGCAGGCAGACAGCACACGTCAGTCAGTCCAGGGGGAGGGCCGGCTGTGAAAATGGGGACACAGGGGGAGAGGGTGTGGCACTGAGCCTCATGAGCTACTGACCCTGCTACAGGTCTGCGACCAGGCCCCCGGCCTCAGGCCATCAGGGCCCGTCTCTTGGTTAGTGTTTGAGGGGCAACGTTTCAAGGTTTGCTTTTTGGTTTACTGGTAGAAAGGGAAAACTTCACAGTTTCAGGCTACGTATACAGATTACCCGGCGCCCTCGAGCCTCTGCTCGGGAGGAGCGTTTCTCCCGCACGCCCCGCTGCCTGGCTGCTCCGGGAGCGCCCTTCTCAAGTCTAGACCCTCAAGGCTCCCGGGGGGCCTCACTCGGACCTGAGGGACCAGACACGCCCCCTCGCACCTCGGACGCGGTTTTCTTCCTCAGTTTCTAACGCTCAGCCAGTGGGAAAGAAAAGGAGAAACCCGTTGGGAGGAGTCTCGGGACCGCTTTCCTGACAACGTCCCGAAAGAGCGTTCGGCTAGTGGGGATGGGAGACACCGCAGCGTCTGGCGGTCACCTGTCCGGGTCCCTTCCCCGGCGGTCACCCGCCAGGAGGCACACGCTGCTCCCTGGGGCGGCGCCTGAGACTGGGCAGGCAGCCCGCGGCCTGTCTGGGCCAGAAAGGCCTTTCAGGTGACCTGAGCCACTCGGCCGCACCCCAGACCGCCCCCATCACGGGAGGGAGAGCGAGCCAGGCCTAAGGAATTCCCAGCCGGCTTCCCAGACTCAGGCCGGCGGCCGCGCCTGGTTTGTCCTGCGAGGGGCTCTCTGGAGAAAGAAGGCAGGCGTGCTGCAAGGCTGGCCACGGCCGCCGGCTCTCGCCCACTTCCTGCGTCTCCAGCCAGGACGGCCCACTGGCGTGTACCAGCTGGCTGGGAAGAAACTCATCTTCCTAGTCTCTTATCTGAGGGATGCTGGGTAAAATGTATACCAGAGCAAAAATAAATAAATATTCGCGTCCAGAAAGGCTTTGTGAGTTCATTAAAACCACCTGCCTGTGGGACAGCCTGGTGCGGCCGTGCCCCGCTGGGCAGTCAGAGCCAGCCAGGGCTCCTGGAGCTCGCCTGAGCAAGGTGAGGTAGTATGAGGTACTGAAGTGTCACCTTGTGGGTGTGTGAGATGCGAGGGCCCTTTCCCTCCAGCCTTCTTGGGACAGGCCCCCTCAAAGGCCGACCAGTCCCCGCCAAGCCGCAGACAGGCTCGGTCCCTGGGCCTGAGCCGGCTGCGGCCAACAGCGCCCCCTGGCGCCGACGCGGGGCGCCTACGGGTCGGCCCAGCAGGCCAAAGGAGCATGGCCAAAGCGCAGCTGGTTAGCTCCAGGTACCAGGCTCCCCGACGGCAGGAGAGAACCACACCCAGTGCACGCACGCACGCCACCGAGTACTTGGGGCCCTATGTCCCGAAGGGCTCCGGCCCACCACTCCGCCACCTCGTGGGGTCTTCTCACCTGCGCTGTGAGCCAAACACACTTCCAGGTGAGAGACCAGGTGCAGGTTAAGGCAAGGCTGCTGCTTCGGCACCGCCCTCCGCCAGGGCACGCGGCGGGGTGGACCTCCAAGGGGCTGGCCGTCCTCTGGCCCACAGGGAAGGCCCCACATCCAGGGCCATCACGCCACATCTCTTTGGAATTGAGGGGGAAAAGGCGAAACCTCCCCCTGGCCACAGCGACCGCCACTTCCAGGCTGGCCGGGGCTCACCCCACGGCCTAACGACCTGGCCGGGAAGCTCTGGCCGCAGGTTGGCTCTCTCTGCCCAAAGACTTACTGTTCAATCAGCAGGTCAGAGCCGTGGAACAAGCACCCCCATCCCTGAAGCTGGCTCCCTGCCGAGGGCGAGAGGGGGGTCTGCGGGGAGCTGCCCCCAGTGGCCTTTCCGGCACGCGCACACGCTCACTGTCCCGGCTGGCCGTCCCGCTGGGGGCCCGGCAGTCACGCCCACAGTGAACACCTCCCTGCGCCCCTCGATTCCGTGAGGCTGTTGGTTGGAGTCTTAGCAGCATAAAACCTATCAGTAAACTGAAACTCAAGGCTGGGGAGGGGCTCGAGTGGACACCAGCTGCCTGCGAGGCCCCAGAAGCAGTCTCTAGGAGTAAGGGACACAGTCCTTCGCGGGCAGGAACAGGTGAGGAGGTGAACACGAGGGGGCCGGCGCTCCCCAGAGGCCGGGGACAGCTTGTGTGCTAGTTCCTCTTTCCTTCTCTCCACGCAAGACAAATTCCTGGCAAGGCCCAAGTGTCGCTTCGGCTGGGCAGGGGCGACGGCGCTGGACAGGCAGGGCCCTGGCTGCCGCGGGCTGCCTCCGGCTCTGCGGCCCGTCAGCTGTCCGGGCCCTTCTCGGCCTCCTTGGAGTGGATGGTGTACATGAAGGTCTGCTCGATGGTGAAGTCGGCCGGGAGGCTGCCTTTGTGCACCCCGACGTGCTTGCTCATGAGGTTGAGCGTGGAGCTGTAGTGGCCGCAGACCGTGCAGCGGTACATGAGCGCCCCCGAGTGCGTCTTCAGGTGGCACTTGATGGTCGAGCGTCCGCGGAAGAACTTGTGGCACACCTTACACTGGTACGGCTTCTCGCCCGTGTGGATGCGCCGGTGGTAGTTGAACTCGCTCGTGTGGGCGAACCGCTTGCCACAGACCTTGCAGCTGTACTTGCTGTTGCCGGGCTGGCCCTGCAGAGCCGGGTCCTCGCTCAGGAAGTCCTCCGCCGGCAGCTTCCGCTTCTGCAGCGCAGGGTGCTGCAGCCCGAAGCCGGGCCGCGCGTCGAGGCCGCCGCCGCACTTGTGCTGGCTGACGTGGTAGCGATAGGCCGCCTCCGACTTGAAGCTCTGGCTGCACACGTGGCAGCGGAAGAGGGCGTCGTCCAGGCTCTGGTGCACACTCATGTGCTTCTCCAGGAGATGCCAATCCACAAAGCTGTTGGCACAGACGGAGCAGGAGAAGACGGGAATGCCCAGGTGCGAGAGCGCGTGCCACATGAGGCCACACAGGCTGAGGTGGCGCTGGTCGCAGACGCTGCAGGCCTGGCCCTTCAAGTTTAGGTGGTCCAGGATGTGGCCCCGGACCACGTGGAAATCTCGGGCCAGCGCCTTCCCGCAGGCCACGCACTTCACCTCCGGGGAAGCCGTCCCAGTGAACAGGCTCAGCTTCCCGGGCAGCGGGTCGTTGGGGTGGACAATGATGTTGTTCTCGAATATCCCATCCCGCCGGTGGAGGGTCAGCTGCCACTGGGTAAAGAACTTGGTTTCACACATGTCGCAGGAGAAGAGGAAAATGCCGATGTGGGACAGAACGTGGGTGACCCGGGAGTTTCGGTCCTGGAAGTGGGTCTCGCAGACCTTGCAGTTGCCCGTGAGCAGGTCCACGTGGTCCCGAGCGTGCTGTCGGATCAGCTGGATGTTGGGCTCTAGCACCTTCCTGCACACCTGGCAGGGCATGGCCTTATTCTCTCGGCTGTCGTTCTCCCCGAAAGTCAGCTCATCCTCGCTGTCGTCGCTCAGCTCGATCACCTCCTCGGTGGTGCCCATCTCCTCGCTCGGGTCTTCAAACCGCAGGTCGTCATCCCCCAGGTCCTCCAGCTGGAGCTCGTCCACCTGCCCGAAGCCGGGGCCCTTGGCGTGGTCGCCGTGGCTCAGGCAGGAGTTGGTCCCGGCGGGGAGAATGTCTGTGGCACTGTCAGGGGGAAAGAAGCTGTTTTTACCGAAGTCTCCGTTGCTCTGCGCTCTGTAGGGAGGGCCGGCGCTCGTGCTGGTTTGGATGCCCGTGCTCACGGTGCCGAGCACGGGCTGGACCCCCGCGCCCGGGACAGGGGTGAACGGAGCAGAGGGCTCGTGCTCCTCCGTCTTCGGCGGCAGCGGCTGCTGCTGGCTTGCGTCCCCGCCGAGCTCCTGTCTCTCTTCCTCCTTATAGCTCCCCCCGGCATCACCGGGCAACACATAGTGCTCCCCACCACTCCGAAGCTCCCCAAGGGGATGAGCGGGTTCCACGGAGCCGGCACTCAGGGCGCCGGCGTGGCTCTCGGCCACTCCGGGGAGGGGCTTGGCCACAGTGGCGCTCTCCAGGTCGGGAAAGGTGGAGTGGCAGGCGCGCAGAAGGTCCTCCATCCCCAGACGCTCGGCCACCTCGTAGATGACCCCAACGTTGATGAGGTCTGTGAAGAGCTCCGACGTGTAGACAAAGCTGAGGATCTTCTCAAAGTTGGCAGGGGTGATGAAGTCCACCACGTAGGTCTTGGCCGCGTCGAGCCCCGTGTTCAGGAAGAGGTTCTGGAAGTAGCCGGCCGCGCAGGCCAGCACGGCTCTGTGCGCGGGGAAGGAGCGGCTGCCCACCACGATGGTGACATCGCACATGGTCTCCGACAGCCGGCACTTGTTGAGCTCCTTGAGCAGGTTGTTGGGGTGGTTGCTGCTTTGCAGTTTGATCCTCATGCCCATCTTAGCAGCTCCTGGGAAGTCGCCTCCTCCTCAGCACAGTGAATCTGCCAAGAGAGAAGAGGGTCAAGCACGCCGCGGGGGGCTCTAGGAGAAGCAGCCCAGGCCGTCCCCTGCCCAGACGGGAAGGGGTGGCCGAGCCAGCGGGCACGGTTCTGCGAAGGCGAGGGCGCAAAGACGCCCCAGCCGCATCTGTGCGAGCCCCGCACAAGTGCAAAAACGCGGACTGCGCTGCCTCTTTGTGGGTCAGCGGGAGAGACCTGACCCCACTGGGCAGGCCTGGCTGGACCGGCGCTTCCGGCCCAGCTCGCACTTCGGGACCGGTCACTCGCC